CAACGGGTGTACGTTGCGGTGACCATGGAGCAAATAGGTAGATTTCTTGTTTTTTTCAAAACGAGTTGATAGACTCTGCTATGTTGGTCGTCATGTGGCCCCAACGTCGCCCATTGTCCCATGCAAGTGCCCATTTTTCTCTAGGTATCTCATCCAACCAATTAGCTGCTTGTATGTCACATTGCCTCAAGATGTTGTAATAATAGTAGAATCGTGGTTCGATCATCCCATACGCTACAACAATATTAAAAAAGCATAGTTAATATAAATATTTATTAGCAACAATTATATAATGAATAAATTGAAACAAATTTGAAGCAAAGGAATTACCCATATTTACAACATCTTTCCTCGGTGCGGTGTTTTTGAAATGTCTCATAAAATTACGTGCAATGTGTCTAATGCAATAGACATGCATTGAATTATTTTCTCGTCCATCCGCTTCCATTTCTCATGTATGCACTTCTAATGGATTCATGTCGATTCGATATGAGGCATAATCCTTGCTGGGGTGTGACATATCTTTGAAGGTTTTTTAAGAAAAAAAACCAGGCATCACTTGTTTCACCTTCAACCACTGCAAACGCAATGGGGAGGATGTTGTTGCGGCCATCTTGTGCTACTGCAACCAACAAGGTACCTCTATATTTTCCAAAAAAAAAAGTTCCGTCCACTTGAACAATGGGCTTGCAGTGAACAAATCCATCTATGCATGACCTAAACGCCCAAAACACACGTTTAAAAATATTTGAATTTTGTTGAAGGACTTCACCTTGGTAAGCTAGTTGTGACTGCAGTTTGTAGATGAATCCGGGAACAAATTGTTGCATCGCTTGTAACAAACAAGGCAACTTCTTATACGAATCCTCCCAATTGTCGTAGATGATCTCCACTGCCCTTTGTTTTGCCAACCAGGCCTTCCTGTATGTTATAGTGTAACCCGTTGTTAATTGGATGTGGGCTATGATTGTGGATATTGGTGTTGACGAATCAGCATCAATTAGTTGACCAATTGTTTGGGAAATCATTTTATATCCCAACTTGTTGTGGTCTTGGCTGATTAATGGCGAAACGCATGTATGGTGCCCTTCAAGCTTCATAATCTCCCAATATTGCTCTCTTGTACGCAATATTGCTCGACATCTCCAATTGCATTGGTTATCACCACATTCAACAACATATCTACTTTGGTTTGAAATTTTCACCTTGTATGTGCGAGTGATTGACAATGTGAAAACGGTTGATGACATCTTGAACTTGTTCTTTTGTTATGAAACGTTGTCCAAGAAATAGAGTTCTACTGGGAGAAACAAAAGACTCTCTCGTCCAACGCATGACCATACTCCGGGTCTTGTTGTTGAATGTGATTTTCAAAGTTAAGAAAATGTTGTGGTGGGTTGAATGGTTCCATGAAGTTTGGTGCATGTGTAGGGATATGTGGTTGTTCGTCCTCCGAATCATCTTGGTGTTGGTCGAGAATTTCATCTTCGTCTTCATCCTCACTAAAAGGATCAACGACTTCAATTGGGAGGCCAACAATTTCGTTCTCTTGTGTGGGTAGTTCTTCGTTGATGTTGGTGGAAGGGCCACTTAGAAGTTGGGTCAAAGGGATGTAGTCATTATGTGTGGGTATTTCTGGGTGAGTGTTTGGCAAAGCTTGGTAGGGTAAGGGTGAAATTTCTAGTGAGTGTGTGTTGGGGTATGAAGAAGAAGAAGTTTTAAATGAAACAAAAATTTCAATATCACATACACTTGAGTTTGAATCATGCACATCGAACATGGCCTCCACGTCGTCATCATCTTTCAACTCAACAGCAATGAAGTTGTTGATCCCAACTCCGAGTCTAGTTGGACAGCGAAAATGGATGGTTACTACATTTTCATGGGGTTCTTTCTCCAATTTCTTGTGGATCAACTTCTTCGACCTTTGTAGAGAAATTCCTCTCTTTAAAGGAACAAGTTTTGCAGTCCCAGTATTGAAGGTAACTCCCTCCATGGGACATGGGTTCATGAAACCATCATAGTGGACAATAGTAGACACTACACCCATTTGAGGAGTGTGGAACACAAAGAAGACTAAAGGTAAGAAGAAGAAATAATGCAAATAGCTTCGAGAGATTTAGGAGTGTGCAATGTGAGAACTTCAAAGAATGAAAGTAGTCTATTTATAATGAAGTCCATTGGTTTCAATCCAATGCTCCCTCACATGGTTTACGCTTTTTGTCTGACCCAATGCAGGGAATCCAAGATTGGAATCCAAGATTTTGTCTAAGATTGGAATCCAATGCTCCCTCACATGGTTTCTGCTTTTTTGTCTAACCCAATGCAGGGAATCCAAGATTTTGTCTAAGATTGGAATCCAATGCTCCCTCACATGGTTTCTGCTTTTTTGTCTAACCCAATGCAGGGAATCCAAGATTGGAATCCTAACTTAGGTGGGTAACTCAGCATTGGATTCTTTACTTGTGTGCATCGGAAAGACATGGGAATCCCGACTTCGGTGGGTGACTCGGCATTGTAAATAGTTACAGGTTTGCTCGCTCAAGCGATGGTTTCTCGCTCGAGCGAAAAAGAACCCGAGAGTCCCCCTTGTTTGAAGGCTTCATCGCTCAAGCGGTGACTTTGTCGCTTGAGCGAGTAATGACCGAATCATGAAACGCCAAACGCAGTTAGTCAAATAATATAACTTGGTTCACCACATATTAGAATCACTTGTCGCTCAAGCGTTCATAATGTCGCTTGAGCGAGACAGAACCCGAGAATCCCCCATTTTTCCAAGTGTCCTCGCTCAAGCGATGTGTTTTTCGCTTGAGTCACCTTAGATAGCGGTTGATAACAACCGCTTTTAAAAATATATATTAGATAGCGGTTAGGCTTTAACCGCTTTCTAATGTAGTAGTTTAGATAGCGGTTGGCCAAATAACCGTTATCTAAAGTCATATATGTCAAAGTGATCGACTATAATTGGATAATAATCGATCATACTTTTCGCTCAAGCGAGGGTTTCTTCGCTTGAGCGAGAATTTACCCCAGATTACCCCTTCGTTACAGATTTCCTCGCTCAAGCGAAGGTTTTCTTCGCTTGAGCGAGAGTTCAGATCGCGAAATAATATTATTTTAATACGTGAACGATGAAACGATTACGCGAAATAATATTATTTTATTACGTGAACAGTAAACAGTGCTAGTTGTGTAAATAAAGTTGCAGAGGTGCTATTTTGGTAAATATTTTTGAAAACAGTATTATTTATAAAAAAAAGTCTAATATAGGATCTCATGACACTATATCATTCATATAAACAATTCAAATTTTTAAGGAAACAATTATTTAATTGGTGTTATTTGCGATCATTGATTAAATAGTGTATGTGTGTAATATATATATATATATATATATATATATATATATATATGTATATATATTAATTTTATAAAATATAAATATTTATTCTTAAAATAATAAATTGTTAAGAATAAATAAAAGTTTAAAAAGGGAAAAAATAAAAATATATAATTAAGAGAATAAGAAAAATGACATTTTTTTAATTTTTATAATTTAATATTAAAATTTGAGAAAAATAAAGAAAAAAATATAATATATATTATATTTTTTTCTCTACAATGATATAAAAAAGGGTTAGAAAATAAAACCTTTTTTATATTATTACATATAAAACACAACAATGTTAAAGAATTATTTTCATTGTATAATAATATTTTTTTTTCAAAGAATACTATTATGGATGAAAAACAGCCATGAAATGAAAATGTGACTTGTGGCTTGAATCAAAGCAGTTGGCAACACCTAGTCGACAATTTTGGGCATCAAAAACCGTTGACCTAAACCCAAATCCAACTTTTTGGGGGAATAAAAAAGAAACGAAATTGGGCATATTCTCTGCTACAAAGATTCTTTGGTGGAGTTTCAATAAGGGCAACACAAGTTATATACTTGTTTTAAATTTGACCCAATTTTTTAGTGCGTTATTCTTTTTATATATTTTAATTTAGATTGAAATGATTCTGATCCAAATTTTTGAATCAATTTGGTATACTTTCTGTTATCATTTTCTATAGTTTTAAATATGAATTGTGTCAGTTTAAAAAAATAAAACTAAATATAATCATATTAAACTCAAACATGCAACGGAAAAACGCTTGAAACTCCAACAAGCATGCTAAACTTGTCTTTCAACTAATTATGTTTGTTATCAATGGGGAAATGTGTATTGCGGGAAGAACAAAACGCAAACACGATCACTCAATTAGGTATGATTTATGCTAGATAGAGACAAAATAATATCAAACATGCTGGAAAAGAAAAATGGTGTGAGAACATGTATCATTTTAAAATAAAATAAAAAATATACGAATTTGATTACTGCACCTATCAATACTGAAAAATCAATAAATTTTATCGATTACCAAACCTATCATTAAATATGTCACGACTTGCATACTAGTGGACCTACTCCCTGAAACATAACTAAAATCACAAAACAAGTTGTGTTTAGTAATTAATAAAACTAACTCATCCAAAGCGTAATGTTTTAATTATTGATAATATATTAAATATTAACATTTATAAAAGTAAAGTAATTCATAAATAAGCTAGTATATCATTTCTAAGAACTAATTTTTCATAATCACGAAAACAAAACTTACAAATCCAAATTACATAGAAAATTAGAAAGAAAAAACTCGGCAACATTAAGTGATAGTAAACATCGCTGAATGGTAACATTTGGCATTAAACCAAAAAATAAGGGAAAGAATTTTAACACCTTCTCCAAGAAAACTCCCCTTGATTCCCAAGCCACCAGTACAAAATTGTTGACATCACTCTATTCTTTCCCACCCTTTCTTCTTCTCTCTATAAATACCAAATCCAACCTGCAAGTTGTTCTAAGAAACATAGACACTCAAGAAAGTTTTCTCTTTTATTTTCTATCACCGCTCATTCTCTTTCTCCCTTGGATCAAACCAAACACTCCTATTCCATGGCTGGCCTTCAACAATACAACTTCTTCCCCACTGATCTCTTGTACCCTCGTCCACAACCACAACAAGCTTCTCCAAAACCCACTGTGCTTCCTCTCCAAACCCCTAATTCTCAAGATCACACTCACCACCAACAACCACCTAGGACCAATGCCACCCCTTCTACTTCTGCTCTTGTTTATACTCAAAAGAATCAATCTCTTGCTGCTGTTGACAACAACAAGATCCCCAAATTCTCATCAGACCCTCTTTCTTGGGTTCTTTGGATCACCGAAGATGAACAGGAAAATACCTCAGACTCCTCTTGAATTGTTCTTCAGTTCTCTTCAACAACATCAATAAAGTCTTATCTCACTATGTGAATTTGGCTGCATGTTTCGCACACCACATCGTTCTACCCACTTGTTGATGTCTTATTTCAGTGAGATCAACCGCATGAATCAGACTACATCATCCACTCGGTTAAAGGAAAAAGGGAATTAAACTAAATGATCTTTTCATGTCTCTGATAGGAAACTGTAAATTATCATTGAAGGGGCTAATCCCTTTTTTCTTTTATGCTCCTTTATTTTTTTAGTCTTTGATCAGTTCTCTTCTCTCTAGAACATTTGAGCTAGTTTACACAATGAATGGTTCTAAGACTATAAGATGAAAATCAATAAAAATTGAAGCTTGTGTTATATGTTCTTCATTTCTCTGCCTCCTTCTGAGTTTTCTGTCTTTTAATTCCCCTTAACCGAATGAAAATTCAAGGATTTTATTCAGTACTGGTGAGTAATAGAATTGGATTTTGCATAAAGTGAAAGATAATGAATTCTTATCGAAAAAATTGCAGCTTGTAAAATTGTTCACTTCCATGCTTGCTTGGAAGTCTCAATTATGCTTCATTACAATTTACATGTTTGTTTACTTAGACCGAAGAAAAAAAAACAAAGCGATGACTCTAGAAAATTGGTACAAATACAATGAATATGTCCAAGTTTGCTAGTCAACATTTTACGTTGACGTAATTTTAATAGTAAAAATGTCAATATTAGTTTTCTTTAGCCATCTCTTCTGAAAATTGTACATCATATCAAATCATGATTCAGATTCAACTATTGCAAATAGTGACACATGGAAAAGAAAGAGGAGAAAAAAAAAGAAAAGGAGGAACAAAACAAAACAAAAATCAACGTGTGAGAACAGCCGAACCTCACCGCGTACAACATACGCACAGGGCCACTTCTGGAACAAAATTCGAATATACCACGAATATGCCTCCACGAGCTTAAAATTTTCTACCAACTTAGTAATTAAACGACTTTGTTATTCATATGTTACCATGCACGTGTTATTACTAAAACCTCAGACCAACCAAATATTGTTTTGTCTTTTTGTGGAGAGAAACGAAATTGTAAAAGCCTCGTATCAGTGAGATTCTTTTCTAGCAAAGGACATTAGCATGCAAATATAATATACCGCAATGTTCCTATAAAAGAATATGCTTCTTTTCTAAATAAAAACCATGGTTTACCGGAAGAAAATATAAACTGGTTGGCTTATCAAACCTAATTGCACGACTTTTTTCATTAATTTATTCATTATAAAAAACGAATCGCATAGTAATATTTGAAAAACAAAAATTCAGAAATGCTCGCATACATATCTTAATTTTATAAAATTGTTTCACGGGGAGTATATTCTAAAAATATTATAATATTATTTTTAATTAATGTGATATTTTATCATATTTCTCATTTTAAGAAAAAAAAATCATCTTTTAACATTGAGTAAATGAGTGTTTTGAGTATTAATTGATGGTAGGAGAATTTGTGGTGAATAATAACGTTGATGAAAAGAATTGGAAGAAGAAAGAAGGAGGACCATGTGTTGTGGGAAAAGATCTTGCATGGTTTAATGATGGGTTGTTGGAAATTAGCAATAGGAACCATAGTGTGGCACCTAACAAAAACAAATCGTGTAAAGTAGAGAGTGAGGTGAACGGTGAACCTACCTTTCCAATTATCACGGTGTCTCTCTACTTGTCACGCATGAAGAAGACACATAGTTCGCGTTAGAGCAACGCATGTTCTTGCCTCCGGACCTCACCTAACATTGATTGTCGTGAAGTATGCACTGAGATAATTACTACTTCATTCGGTTAAAATTGGTGTGGAGTATTTCCTTCGTGTGGTGATATTTTTACAGAAATTATATCACCCTTTAAATAATTCATTTTCATTTTTATTAATATAATAATCTATTGAATGATTTAATAAAAATAAAAATAAATTAAAATTATTATTATAATATTAAAATAGAATTCTTTTATAAAAATTGTATGGATTTGTGTTCTCAAAATATCATTTTTCTTCTTTTATATTATTCTATTAGAAAATATTATATATATATATATATATATATAAAAGTTTATTGGTTTTTATAATTATATTATATTAACTATATTTTTATTAATTAATAATATATAAATATTTGTATTTTTCTAAATTATATATTACACTTGTCTTCTTCTTTTTTCTTTTCTTCTTATAGGTATAAATTTGTATTAGAAGTTATCTATTTAGTGTATATTCATTCACTTATAACATGAGTCATTTTATCTTCCTTAAATAAACTAGAGTTACTCCTTGTTATGCATGTCTTTTCGAGAGAAATTGTTTGATTTTATTTTATTTTTTAATTTAAAAAAAATAAACAAAATTAATTACTGAAATTCCTCAAAACTTCTAAAACTTAATTTTAGTTTTTATTTCAGTGACATGTACTAGATTTAAATATGCAAGATCAGGATTAAAACATATTCATTATTATACGTTAAATTACTTTAGTTAATTTTTAAAAGTATTATATTATTTAAGGGCATATTTCATCATAATAAAAAAAAAGATAAGGGCTGGTTTTGTATTTTTGTTTGGAAAACAGATTTTAGATTTTTAGTTTTTAAAAATAAAAAAAATTAATAAAAGGTATTTTATTTTTATATTTTTTATTTTGATTAATGATATTTATGTTTTTATCAATAAATTATACATGTCTTCATCATACAATAATTAAAATTATTTTTCAACTTTCGTTGACTATTTATTTAAAAGAGTTTTTAAATTAAAGTTATTAAATACTTTTTTTCTTTTAATTTATTTTTAAAAATAAGTTTCTTAAATTGATTTCTAAAATTATTTTTAAAAATTAAAAAATAAAATAAAAAGAAAAAATCTTAATGATCTTTTTCTATTATAATTAATTATTTAATATGAATAAAATATAATTTCTTACGAGGAAAAGATAGGTTGTATATCCAAGATCTAACCTATTTAGGCTCTAGAAATATAACTTAGGCATGTGATAAGCATATTGCACTTACTTTTCTAAAAACTTAAAATATTACAAATTAAATTAAAAAACAACTCCATACAAATGATGACCCACATTTGATCACACCTCCTTCATTAATCTCAAAACATGACGACAATTCAACTAAAAACAACTTAATCATCCATAAAACGATCAATCAATCTTATTTCAAATTTGATGTCCTTATTGGATATAACAACCAAGTTCAGGAGGGATACATTGAACTTTTAAAGATTTAAAAATTCATATGATCAATTTTCTTTAAACAAGACAAATTATATTTTACAAGATCACCTATATAGTAATGTTTGTTAGTAATGAATATAACAAGTAATATAACAAAAAAAATATAAATATCAATATAAGGAAAGAAAAACATAACACATAATTTATATTTGTTCATCATCCACCTAGAGCAACATCAAGTTATCCATTAACATCAATTGAACTCATCCACTAACTTTGAAGTTTAGTGCAGGTAGAATATCGGTTGAGAATGAAGTGTGAGACCTATATTAAACCCCATAATACATTGTGCATATCAAAATCAGACAATTTCACCACTCTCCAATTCCCTCTCAAATCCCCAAGACCTACTTGACATGTCTATACTCTAGGATATCTCTATAAGTTTATCCAAATAAACTCATGGATGAAAATATCATATTTTCTCATAATTGCTACCCTCTTGTAGTGCATAAAATCTATATTTCTAGTGTCATCTCATTCAATTTTATTAATATAACATGCTTACTTTGTTCATGCCATATTGATTTATCATGTCACAACTTCAATTACTCAAAATTTTGAATGAATAGTTTATAAAATCAACAAATAATTAAGTATATTGATCTTTCATATGTCTTGAAGGAAGAGATTTCCCATCAATTCAATAAAAATAACTGAACTTTTATTTATATTAATCGAGCAAACTATCAATCAAGTTAGTTATCATGCAGATTAGTTGAGCTAGTCATTAGACGACATGCATACTATTTGTGTTATTTTGTAATAAAGTAATCAAAACAAACATGTTACTCAGTTACTCTAATAAAGTCAATTCAATAGATTCATCATTAGTCAAACTAATTCAGACAAATCAATCAAGTTTATTATTCATTGAGTTGATTATCATTTAATCTATATAGTAATTTGTTCTAAAAAAATTACTTCTAAGTTAATTCTATAATAACCAACTTAACTAAGTTTTATAAAACCTTTATATTTGTTTGTTCTCCAAAGTTTATTCACCGAGATAACATGCTTTCAGACAAGAAAAAGATTGATTGTTTTCATGGAAGACATTTTACAACTCCTCCTATTTGTTAGCATCATTGAATCTATAAGCATAAATTAAACTTCACAAGTGATATCATCTAACCACAATATTGACCTACAAAATCATTTGATGGATCAAATTGTGAGAGATCAATTAGTAAGAAGTCATTTAATACGAGATCATTTGATGAAAAAAACAATTAACATCTTGTAGATTGTCCGAAAATATGAGTTGATATACTAAGATCATTAATTGACTATTAGTAGTTCGTCTAATGACAAGGTATAAAAGACCAATTGATTTGGGTCGATTGATATGCTTCATTCATCAGTTTAGATTTTATCATGTCATTACAAGCTCATTATCTCACCTCCTCCATTAAGCACATGAAGCAATAACAAACCGATAACCTACTCACCCACAAATGTGACGTCCTTTATTTTTTTCTTATTAATTTAAGATGACTATTTTTCAAAAGTAAGATATGAGGTAAATGTTTATACATTTATATGTAAAAAGATATGAACTTTACAAGTTTATATGGTTTCTTTATGATAAATAATTATTAAAATCGACAAAAAAATATCAGTGGTTGATTTATCAATGATATGTGTCTTCCATCTTGATGTCTTCATCTATTTATATTGATATTTTAATAACAATAGGGAAGTGAGA